AATTAAATAAATGCAATGATAGACTTCGAATCTAGTAAAGTAAATGTGTCACGATCCCAGTTTGCCCTCCGGGAACTATCATGACAACACCTAGTCTCTACGACTAGGTAAGCCTAACAAATTGTGGAAACAGAAATAACAGAATAAAACTAACCATAAACTACATAACGAAGCATTTAAGATGCCGCTCGGCATATACAATACAAACTCTGAAAACTGAACCAACATTTCCCAAAACTCGGAATCTCATGAAATCACAAGCTTTTGAATGTCTACAAGTATCTAACTCCAGAGTGTCTAAATAAAAGAAAATACAAAAGGGCTAATACTTTAAGAGAATAAAAAGGGACTCCTCAGTTTGCAGACGCGGCAGATATACCTCGAATTCTCTGAAAAATAGCCTCGCCTCAAGGGTGGTAGGGCTGAGCCGAAGTACCTGGATCTGCACATGAAAAACATGCGCAGAGAGGGCATGAGTACACCACAGCGGTACTCAATAAGTGTCAAGCCTAACCTCGGCCGGGTAGTGACGAGGAAGGTCAGGGCCCTACTGAGGTTAAATGAAATACAAAGTATAACAATGTAGAATAAGACGGTATAATTAAGTACAACAATAAGAGGTAATACATGATGGAAAGAACAATAATAACTACAACAGAGACAAAATAATCACAGAAAGGAATACAGCTCAACACAGAGATAACAGTCGGAGATCTCCTAGGATACCGTCTTGTAGTCCCAAATATAAATACCCAGTGGATCTCCCAGCATACCGTCCCGTAGTCCAACTCATAATGTGCGGGATCTCCCGGAATACCGATCTGTAGTCCCAAATGTAAATACTCGATTGGGGGGAGGGAATATACTGGGTGCAGTCTCGTAGTTCCAATATAAAAGTGCAGGGGGATCTCCCGGAATACCAATCCGTAATCCCAAAGTAAACATGCAGGGGGAATCTCCCGGGATACCGTTCCTTAGTCCCAAAGTAAATACACAGCAGCAACACGAAGAACACTCAATTCAATTCAAATTCCATACCAAGGTAAAACAAGTATTTCTAACCTAACATGTTGCACGAAATCTAAATAAGGCAGTTTGAGCAAATAAATCAAGTAAGTCAATTAGACATGCTTCCCTAAGCTAACAGTAAGCTTAAATTGCAAGTAGTATAGACAGGAAAAGAAGCACAACTATAGTTAATTAATGGAAACAGAATTTTCAACAATTAGCACAAGTACGCACTCGTCACCTCACGTACAAGGCATCTCAAATATCAATAATACCAATTCTAAGGAGAGTTTCCCCCACACAAGGTTAGGCAAGCCACTTACCTCGGACTGACTCAAAATCAACCCGATACCACGCTCTTGCCACGAGTAATCGACTCCAAATGGCCAAAATCTATTCAATTTAATTGCATAATATAAATATAACTTCAAGTAATTGATTCCACTAATTAATTCTAAGCTAAAACGCGAAATTAATAAAAATGACCAAAATGCCCCTCGGGTCTACGTCTCGGAATCGGGTAAAATTTACAAATTCAGAATCCTCATACTCTCACGAGTTCGTTTATACCAAAATTATCCCAATCCGATATCAAAATCTAGATCAAAACCCCAAAATTAGGACTAAGAACTTTCCTCCACTTTTCCTCAATTTTTATCCCAAATCCGAAATTAAATGACAAAACCAACATTAGATTATAGGAATACAACTAGAAAGGGATTAGGAATCGTTACCCACTGATTTCTTCTTCAAAATCCTTCCAATATCGCCCTCTCCCGAGCTCCAAATCGATTTTCTAACTTTTGATTTCAAACCCTCGAAATGTCTTGTTTTCCGCCCAGCAAATCCGCTTTTGCGGCCAAGGGACCGCACCAGCGGTCCCGCTTCTGCGGAAACTTACTTGCACCTACGATAACTCATTAATTTCCCATTTCCGCACCTGCGATCACTTTACGGCATCTGCGATCACGCAGGTGCGTAGACACTTCCGCACATGCGGCTTCTAGCCTTTCCTCATCTGGCCGCATCTGCGGTCTCCCAGCCGCTTCTGCGTCTCCTCACCTGCTGTCCCAGATCCGCATGTGCGGTTATGACAGCAATCCAGCAGCTTCAGCTGCACACTCTAACTCCCAACTTCCCGTCAACCATCTGGAATCATCCCGAGGCCCTCCGGGACCTCAACCAAAAGTACGAACAAGTTATATACCAATATTCTAAGCCAAAGATGCATATTTTTCATGTGGATGTCATACTCCTTTCAAGAAGTTGACCCAAACTCAAAATATTACTTTTTAATTTTGGCACATAATAAACATCTTGAATTAACTTGTGACTACCATCTTTACAGGAGATCAGAATCGTACCTATCCCTTTGATTTGAACCTTTGAGGTATCTCCAAAGGACACATTATCTTTCACCATTTTATTGATCTCCACAAACTTCTCTTTACATCCACATATATGATTGCTTGCTCCATTGTCCAAATACCACGAGCTGCAATCATCTCTGTCTTCTTCCTTGAGTGTCATCAACAACGTTGACTCATCTTCTTCTTTCTTGTCGTCAACAAGGTTAGCCTTTTCTTCAACATTGCTACGACATTCCCAAGAGTAATAGCCAAATTTATGACAATTATAACCCTCAATTTTTGATTTGTCATACCTTTGTCCATTATTTTCTTGGTAGTAGTCACGTCCTCTTCCTCCTCTTTGTCCACGACCACGACCTCTGAACGTTTGGTGGATTTTAACTTCATTGTTGGAGTTGTTACCATTACTTCTTCCTCTTCCATGACCGCCTCGTCCTCGTCCTTGTCTGTTTCCTCGATAGCTTGTTTCACCTCCATAATTCTTGAAGGATGCCTGAGTTTTAAGAAGTTGCTCCAATGGCACTTCATGTTTCCTTTTGATCTTTTCTTCGTGGGCCTGTAGAGAACTTTCTAATTGCTCCACCATCATAGAGTCTAAATCTTTAGACTCCTCAATAGCACACTCCACAAAATCAAATTTAGGTGTTAAAGTGCGAAGGATCTTTTCTACCACACAAACATCTTCTATGTCCTCCCGTATCTTCTTAGTTCATTTACAACAACCTTCACTTTTGAAAAATAATCTGAGATGCATTCGGATTCTTTCATTTTAAAGCTTTAAAATCAGCCCTTAGAGTTTGAAGTTTTACCTTTTTCACTTTGTCAACTCCTTGAAGAGACTTTTGTAAAATCCCCCAAGCTTCCTTTGAGGTGGCAGATACTACCACCTTCTCAAACATGGCATTATCCAAACATTGGTGGATGAGCGTGAGAGCTTGTTGATCCTTCTTCCTTGTCTTTGCCAAGACCTCTTTTTCATTTTGAGGCAGAGCTTCCTCATTATCGGGTTTTGCATACCCTCTATCTACGATTTCCCACACATTCTGAGAGCCAAGGATGTCTTTCATACATAGACACCATTTCTCATAATTATCTTTTGTAAGACGGGGGTACTGAAAAGACAACAAACCATTATTCGCCATGGCTCTGATACCACGTTGGGATAAAAAATAATATATCCCGCCCAGGAATAATATCCACGGCAAATAATAATAACACAAGAGAGTAACAACGACACCAACTCTTTTAATGGGGTAAAATACAATACCCGAGCGGAGCAATATAACCACTATAATATTACAACTTGGTAGTGTCAAGAGACTACTACAATTTTGAAAGAAATAATACTTTTTATTTAAAGACACCTCACTACAATATTACTACAACTCACTATTTATCTCACAGACAACAATCTGTGGATTACTCTCACTGCTTTGCTTTCTCCTTAGCTTCTCTCGTTTTGGTGTGTCTTCAATGAGGAATGAATAGCTCCTTTTATAGGCACAATTTTCACCTACCCAACCAATCTGATTGGTTCAAAATTTACAAAGTCCAGCTGCCCAAATTTTTACAAATTTTCCAGCCTCCTAATTTGTGTTATCTAACTTTACCACATTTTTCTTTATTTAGTAGGTGAGGTATGGACCCCACATTATATGCATTAAAAAAATTTTACAGCAGCAATGAGCAAACTAAGTAACATAGTGGATTACACTTGGTTTCTCTCGCACTTTGGACTCATGAGTTTATTGACTGCTCGTCACCAACAGTTTGCAATAGAATGCATTTCTATATTCTTTAATTTCTACATATCATCATCATTTTGAATTACAAAGAACTCAGTTAGGGAAATAGTAGCAGTAGGATCGCCGCTTGATACCAGCCACAGAATGCCAATTAAAAGGACTCTTGAACATTATATGTGTCGTTGCATCTTGCCACGGTGCATTGCATCACACGGAGCAATTAGATGAATGACGATTCTAGAATAATTAATGTGGTGTGGTTCCTTCTTTTCCCGTTGTACCGAAAATTAATTAAACTCAGCATTTAATATATACCACACGGAGAGAGGAACTGCTGCACGTGTTAAACAGGAAGCAAATTTCACCAAAATCATTTAAATCCATTTGAGTAGATCAGAAGAATTCGACTTCTTGGATATTTTACCTGTTCCTTTTGAAAAAACAAAAACCTACCTGACCATTTTGTCTAAAATAGCAGTTGTACATCTTCTCTTTTGATTCCCATAATTCTAGTAGGTAGTAACATATGTGAATTTCATGTCAGTTTCAGCTTCTAGGGGGAGCTTACAATTATTTTTGATTTTTCTTAACTTCCTCATATGATATTGTAACCACTTCACGAATCTCTGCTAAGTGAAAAATAAATAGGCAAAATATAATTTTTTTGTAACACTGTTGTCATGTCCCAAGCATCAAGCAACAAAAGAACTGTCTCTTATTTATGTTGCAAGATATAATTGCAAATGATAATCTCCTCGACATAACATGGCAGGACAGTTAATACGAAAGAACTATTTTTGCTCATTAATAACTCATGCTATCATGTAAAAGAACCAATCATCATAACAAACTGTAATATGTATAATCAAGTGATACTTGACACTAATAACTACTGAGTAAGCAAGCAAGGAAATCATAACTGCTAATTAAAAAATAAACAAAAGGTTTTTTCATCTCAAAGGAGTTCATAAGAACTCTATACTCTTAATCAAAATATAGTATCTATTAGCACAAAGATTTATTTGATGAAATGAGAAATCAAATCAAAATTTTATTGAACAATCCGAGGCGTATTGCAGTTTATGCCATAGCGAAGTATAGAGGAAACTCCTATAAAAATGGCTAAACTTATGAAGATGTTTTCAAATAAACAGGAAAAGTACATTAAAAGTTGCTCAGCTATATTTCACATATAAAAAAGATACACTAATCACAAATAAGGTAAAACTAACTTGATTGAATTGTAGGTACTAAATTATTACTACATGTTTACCTCTTTCTTCTATAATTAATCAGCAAAAAAATTAGAGTTCTCATTAACAGGTAAAAAGTATCTTTTTATAATAGCCGAAAAATTTGTTGTTAGTCATAATGATGTCTGTGGAATCTGGACGATATGAACAATAATATTGTCCAAAATGAAGCATCATAAGCTGCAAAGTTATATATAAAGGACTCCAAAAATCAGCTAGCAGATACATTATAAAAGGCATCAATCAAGTAGCATTAGAGTTTTCTTATCCCAAGTTTATCCTTCAGTAATGTGATCAATTTATCATCAAAGGAAGATGGATACAACTTGTTTTCAAAAATATCAAGCCGAAAATCTATTTCAACATAGGATTCTAATGAGCTATTTACTCTCTATAAAAGTTCCAAGCCCCTCTTGATGGCTCTTGCTCTTGTTGTTCATCACATGTTATTTCCCTTCTATAGATATATTAACAATACCTGAAAAAGTGAAGTCTTATGCAAGCTATTCTTACCCAAGTTTGATTCTTTCCAAATGGATAAGCAATATCGTTCTAAGAAATGGAGAAAATACAGGCGATGAGTCCAAATTTCGATCACAGAAAACGCAACTACTTGTTCATACCCCAAAAAAGGAGTCAAGAAAGAAATATAAAGAGAGAAAAATTGTACATCTTCAATCACTTTGCCACTTTTGGGCCATCTCCCCTGTGACTCAAGCAAATCTGGCTTTGAAAAGTTCACGTAGTACATATACTAAAATATGTAAAACTTCACAACTTTATATTTTGCATCAATGTAGGTCAAAATATCACTTACACGAAACTAAAACAGAAAACATATGAAACATCACAGAAAGTTGTCAGCTAAGATTAAGCATGTGCATTCATATACATGACAAAGATGCCCATGTCTAGATGATATTATTAAGCTTATAATCAATTTGGATACTGTAACTTTGAGAGAAGCTCACACGAAAGGCTTGACGAATCTATTTAATTCATTAAAATCTCAAGCAAGAATTTCTTTTAAATACATCTTCATGCATGAAAATGTTACCAAAATCAAGTTCACATGCCTTGCGAGAATTCATAACTAATCTAGAAAGCTATGGAATTTGGTTACTTGAGAAGTTGAAAGCATTGCTCCTTTAAACTATGTGGTTACATGTCAACTCTACTCTAACCCATATTTTTATATCATTGGACACATACTCATGTTCAAATATATCTCACTGTTATCACAAAGTACCTGCATATAAAATACGAAATTGGAACCAGCATGGAGCAAAAATTGACTTCTTAACACTTGTAGATCTCCTTCCCCAAGCTCTTATCCTGGCCCTTTGGGATGGTTTCATCTAAATGAAGCCATGCATAGGTAACTTATATTTTAATGGGTCGTATTGCCATGTCAACTCCCATTTAATTACCTGCTAGCAAAAGTTGTTCTGAACCGAGTCAGTAATTAGCTTTTTATGCATAGTGAATTAACTAAATAGTATATAATACATAAGATATTGTTCAATAATTATGACTAGTAGAAGTAATATAGATTTGGAGTTGCTAAATGATAGTATATTTATGTTATAGAACAACTGGAAAAAAAAGGAATAAAAGCTCTTTCAGTTGTTTCAGGTTTATTGTCAAACACTTTTGTTGCATCAAAGTTCTTCCATTTTTGTTACTACTATTTATTCTTGATGACAATTCAGTGCTTCCGTAGAAGAGTTCTAAAAAATAACTACATACATGAAGAAAGAGAAGAAGCAAACAAATATCCAAAATCACATACTCTGTAGGAGTATTAAAAAGAAAAACAAAGCGAAATGCAAAGACACTTTCAGAGAGCGAGTGAAAATTGTAAATCAATAATCTTATCAAAAATAGAATCGAACATCTAAATGCTCATCAAGAAGAAAAAGAGAAGAAAATCAGCAAATCCACATACAAAGGGAAACCACAATAGAAATTTTGAAATGAATCAAGAATCCATGGCCAAGAGACAAAAACACACAGGATGACTGAAACTTATTTTTTTCCCTTACAAATCTTCTTCCATATGCGGATAGCTTTGCACCGCAATCAAATGAAATTTTGCGAAATATGGAGGAAAAATGAATCATCAACCCTCTTATCTGAAAACTTAAGAATGTCCTGAAAGAGAACAAGTGAAAGAAGAAAGCTGCTCATGACACCTATAGCACTCATGTCTGCCATTAAAGCAGTATACATACTTCGAATGAAGATCAAATATGAAATTACTCCTAAAATAATTCATAATTTCGAGAATACAACCTATTTCACCCTTAATCGGAACCTTTAAAGAACAAAATTTTTCCACTAAACACCCCAATTTACACAATCAAGATCAGAAACAAAGAGCATGCACTAAGGCATTTCTTTTTCTGACAACGCTAGTATATGTGGTACAATGCACCTAGATATTTCTTTCCAGAGATGCATATCAAAATGAGATAGAAAATCTAGCAAGAAATTATTCAAAAGAATAGAGAAACCAACATCGAACAAAAATAGACAAAACTTCAAAGAAATCCAGAACACAACACAAGGAGAAAAAAAATCGGGGAAAAAACTTATAAAACTTAATAAACACAATAGACGCTAGAAAATTGAGGCAAACAACATGAAAAATCACAAAAAGACAGAATTCATGTAAGAAATATGAACATAGACAGAGGAAAAATCTCATACTCAAAGGATCCAAAGAAGCCCAGACGAATTGTAAAACTCATTGAACTTGCAGAGTGTGCGAAGGAGAGAGAATTAGAGGAGTTGTAATATGTTTGCACTCTGCAAATTGAAACAGAGGAGTATTTGAAATAAATTACACGTGGTAAGGTAAAGGAAAAGTCCAGACACGTGTTATTTCACCAACAACTATGGGTCAAACATAGAGTACTATTCACACTTCGTTTTGTATAATTCAGGACTGCCATATTCGTATCCTCAAACTCCCACTTCTAAATAATAGACTAGACGAATAAAGCCCGTGCTAAGCACGGGCCCAACCGTTATTGCATAAAAATTACATTATGCATATGTTCAAACTAACAACAAATAAAGATATGATGGAACAAAGATATGATGGCATGAAATATACCAAATCAGATTTACAACTATCTAGCATCTAAGGGGCATCAACAACTGATAACAAAAAGAGAACTCCTATGAAAGAGGGATAAGGATTTTATTCCAAGAAAGCACTAAGCAAGTGCTGTACATGAAGCTATAATTTCCTGATGATGTAGTATTGAATGTCTACTACAAGATTGACGCTTCACATTTCACAACAACAGAGTAAAACTTAATTATGGTTCCATTACTCTTGTCTGTCTTCTGTTGCAAGCCTTGTTGTCAAGGCACTTATTTGTATGGAAGTTAACACATAATGTTTTCCCCGTCACTGAAAAGGATCCAAATGCAAGTGATTTTCAGAGGTTCATATGTAGAATAAGAACGATGTGGAAATTTATAACAGATGCTTGATCCTAACCATCTTGTTTCGACAAATTTAGGCATAGGTATAGCTTCAACTGTATCTCCTGTTTCATTGGAAAGACCTACGGACCCAAGATACTACATCAAGAGAAATTAAGAGCGTAACTGTCCTGACCCAAAATCCCACCATAAGTGTCGTGATGACACTTAGTCTCTAAGACTAGGTAAGCCGATTAGAATAACAATTCAAACCAATTTTTTTATTAATCGAAACCAACAGTGGAAATAAAGATACAACCTCCCCAAGACTGGTAGTACTGAGTCACGAACTCTAACTGAATATATGAAATGATCTGAAGGAAATTAAATATACAATAGTGCTCGAATAATAATTGATAGTACGATAAAAGGGAAAGATTCCAAAGGATTGCGACGACCAAGCAGCTCTACCTTGAATCCTTGCATTCACACTCTAACTCTGTTCGAGTCCTATATCTCCAATACTTGGCCCTGTACATAAAAAATATACAGAAGTATAGTATGAGTACACCACAGCGATACCCAGTAAGTATCAAGACTAACCTCGGTGGAGTAGTGACGAGATACAGTCAAGACACTCACTAGTCTAATAACCTATTCAATATAGCATTCAAAAATAATAGGAAACAAATAACAATGATGACAACAATAATCAACCAGTGATATAAACAACAGGGCAACAAGAACATCATATATATTGCTCAGCAAATAATGAATACAAGTACAACCAATTAATCAAAATTTTCAAATATTAATCTTTCGCCTATAAATCTTCCCAATAGTAATCTTTAGGATATAATATTTTCCGATAAATATATTTCGAATATACTTCCTTCAAATAAATATCTTTCTCATAATTCTTTCAAACAAGTATCTTTCCAATATAATTCTTCCAAATAAATATCTTTCGAATAAAAATTCTTTCAAATAATATTTTTCGAATATAATTCTTTCAAATAAAAGTCACCATGGGACACCTTATTTCAAATCATAAAATACGGGTCTCATCCCATTTTCATATTTCCATGGCAACTTGTGCCAATATTTCTATTACAACTGCACGGACAACTCACGTGCCAATACCGTCATCATTTACTCACGACACCTCGTGCTCATATTTCATATCACAACTGCACGGAAAATTCACGTGCCAATATAATTTTGATTATATAACCACGGCACCTCGTGCCCATATTTCATATCATAACTGCACGGACAATTCACATGCCAATAATAAATTCATCATATTTCCCTGACACCTCGGGCCCATATCATAATCCGCCCGACAATATTCACAGGCTCATAATTTCAACATATATCTGACTATTATCAAATTTACTGAATTTATAAAATAAATTGCATAATATATAAAAGAACTCACAAGGAATTCACAACACGACATAAATATTACCAGCACAATATCCCCCCATCATCACATAACAATTACCAACACAATACTCCACATCATCACATATCATCCCTGACAATAGCCACCCTTATCTCTCCTATAGCCACCCTTATCACTGCTATAATAGCCTCCCTTATCGCTCCATATAATAGCCTCCCTTATCGCTCCGTACTTATCGCTTCGTACAATAGCCTCCCTTATCACTCCGTCCAGACAATATCCCAACACACATAACCACAGTGAAATGCCACCCTTATACCCACGTAATATCAACAATGGAATGTCACATTTATGTCCTCATAATAATAACTCAAATTACACAATAATTTACACAGAATATTATCACAACAACACCATACAATAATTCATATCACGAATTGTCCATAGGCCACAATCAATTCCAAAGATACAACAAAATCAATTAATTTCACAACAAAAAGCCCAAGGCTCCACACAAGGTATATAAAACCTCAAAACAACAAGGATGGAAAAATAATTCATCATAGGACAACACCTTCTTTAATCCAAATTTTTAATAATTATATTAATGCCTCTTCTTACCTTATTTAATTAATTATTTGCGGACGAAAAATCCATAATAAAATTATTTCTAGGAAATATAAAATCACCAAACACATGGAATTCACATAAAGAAATCCAAGTAGCAATCACACCAAATAATCATATAAATACAAACTCGATAAATAAAGAATGAGGCATGACAAATCAAAGATTTACTAAGTGTCAACCATTTTCAATTAAATACATACGGGTGTCTACGAATTTTAACCGATATAATTTGCACATATAAACCAAGTACGTACTCGTCACCTCATGTACATGGTTTCCAATCACACAATTTCCACATAAGACTCAATGCCTAAGGGGAAATTCCCCCACACTAGGTTAGGCAAGATACTGTGAGCACGTGATTTTTGTCTTATATGAATTACTCCCATATGTCACACCTCCTTTTTCCGCACCCGACAGGTGCAGGGGAGTTTTTTCCAATTAAAGGACAATCGAAACGGGATTGGTTTATTTATTTCAGAGTCGCCACCTGGGAGATTTAGGGTGTCCCAAGTCACCAATTTTAACCCCGAATCGAGGAAAAGAATGACTCTATATTACAGTCTGCGTACCAGAAATCCGGATAAGGAATTCTGTTAACCCGGGAGAAGGTGTTAGGCATTCCCGAGTTCCGTGGTTCTAGCACGGTCGCTCAACTGTTATATTCGGCTTGATTATCTGATTTCATACAAATTGAACATATATGCGAATTTTAACTTTTAACTGCTTTTTTCGTTATTATTGTTTTACAAGAATTGCAACGTCATGAAAACATATCTCGAACCACGTTACATC